CCCTCCAATGTCTCTTAATATTTTTTGTCTGTTTTGTTTGTATAACAGGATCTTCAGACTGTGGCCTTGTATGCACTGTAGCATTAAGGATGACTTTGAATTCCTGCTTCTGACTCTACCTCCCAAGTGTTAGGAAGAGAGAGGTGTGCCATCATATCCACTTACTATATTCATAAAGAAAATATATTTGCAAGAAGAACCCCAACTTCTTTCACTTTAAATTACAGTTATTTATTTATTGGGGAGTGGACCACAGCATATGTGTGGGTCAGAGGACAACCTGTGGGAATCAATTTTCTCTTCCCACTATGTAGGTCCCAGGGACAAAACGTTATGAGGCTTGGCAGTAAATGCCTTAACCACTCAGGCCACTTCACCAGCCTCTGCAATAAATTTTTAGGAGGTAAGAAACCTAGTCAATGAAGATAATTCTCAATAATCTGGCTTTTTTTCCAAAATTTTTCTAATTTGAAAGGGGTATTTACAGCAACTTCCCTATAAACAGATATGGCTTCGTGCATTTTTTTTAACTGAAATAAACTGTCGACACTATAAAAAGCAGCCATAGTTTGCTTAAACTGAATATCAGAAGAGGCATTCTGTGGCTTACTAAAGAACTTCAGAAAAATACTACACGTTGTTACTTCAGATTCCTACTGCTCGACCCCTCCTCCACTACAATGAACAGCCTGGAGCTGTCTTAGGCAAGACCACAGCCAGACACACTTTCCTATCTAGTTCTACCAAGTCTTTGTGAAATGCAAAGGAAAAGGCACCTGCTTAGAAGTAAACCCACCAGGGACAGGGACAGGGATAGGGACAGCAGCAGTGTGGAGGTAGCATATACTCAAGCAGGAGTGCTAGAATCACAGTCTTCATCCTCAGCCTCAGGGCTCACCTCCTTGCTCATACCCCCAAAACATACACAAAGTAAAGGGCCCACAATATTCCTAAAGAAAAACACATCTCTCAGAAGTCTCCAAACAGCCCTCCCAAGGAAACTCATAGGATGAGTTTTCAGGGCTCTCGTCCAGAAGGACCAAAATCTCTGGGATTAGCTTCTAGATGACAAAGTATTTTCTTCCCCTAAGATAGTGCTGAGCAGACAGGCCCAGTGTCAGGAACAGGCTTAAGTGATAACCAGTCTAGGGAGGGTTAAAATGTTTGAAATAGAAAAGCCAAATCAAGCTATATTCTTAGCTTTAAAAAAGTCCCAGAAAATAGCATATTGTTTGTCAAATCAGCCAACCCCGTACTGATTTTTATTCATGTTGCAAATGGAGCAGAGAATGGGTTGGGCAAGAGGAGACAATGTAATGGGATCTACCAGGATGCAAAAAGGCTGTAAAGATAATGAAAGTTTGGCTTGGTGGTGTATGCCTTTAATCCCAGCATTCTGGAGGCTGAGGCAGGAAGATCTGAGTTGAGTCCAGTCTGGTCTACAAAGCACAAAAAGCAAGTTCCAGGACAGCCAGGGCTATACAGAAACAAAAACTGACAGTTCATGTCACTGCACAATCTCACATCAGCTAACCTTCCATAACTTATTTCTGACTCAACAAGTAAAAAGTAGATGAGCATATGTCATAAGTTTGTGTAAACTTGACACAAACCTAAACATACCTGGTAAGAGGGACTCTCACTTGAGGAACTGTCTCCATTAGATTGGCCTGTGGGCACATCTGCAGGCACTTTCTTGATTGCTGACTAAGACTGGAGGGTCTAGCCCACTGTGGGCAGTGCCATCCTTGAACAGGTAGGGGTGGGCTGTATAAAAAAGGTAGCTGAACAAGCCAGAGGAAGCAAGCCAGTAAACATCATTGCTTCCTGGTCTCTGTATCGGTTCCTGACTCTGGGTTCCTACCTTAGTTACTGTCCTATAACCTGTAAACTTCTTCCCCAAGTTGCTGTTGGTGGTGGTGTTTGCCAATAGAAAGCAAAGTAGAACATCAGAGTAGAAATATTTTTCATATGTATTCAAAAATAGATAATTTGATTTCAAGACAAAAATATTTTCCTGTCCTTAAAAACAATTTACAAAAGGAATGAATAGAATACTAAATAAAGAAGGAAAATTGATTCCTCTTTTATTGGTTCCTAACAGAAAATGTGATGGGGACTAGCAAACGGAAGGACAATGGAGTAAAGGAAACGGAAGGACAATGGAGTAAAGGAAAGAGCTTCTTCAAAAGAAACTTCTGGGGCTGGAGAGATGGCTCAGTGGGTAAAAGAGCTTGCAGTGCAAGCCTGATGTCTTGAGTTCAGATTACCCAAACCCACATAAAAGCCAGATGCAGTAATGCACATCTATAAATCCTAAAATTAAGAGAGAAGAAATCCTTGCTGTAATTCCTCTGGAGTCTTTATGTTCTTCTAAGCTGTTTTGTTTTGTTCTGTGTGTGTGTGTGTTTTTTTAATGTTTGTGTTTATGTTTAATGTTCTCTGTGTGTGTTTTTTAATGACTCTGGCCTTTGCTTTCCACGCCTTCTAAATGTTACTAAACACACAGAGAATGTAAGGCTGAGTGACAGGATGGAGCATGAAATGTAGTCTGGGCAATGTCACTGACTAGACTGCAGAAAGTTAATGAAGTCCTCAGCTTCTCTCCACTTCCCAATACCACATGTGGGACCAGCAAAATGGGGACAGGAATACCTCCTGCAGTTCAAGACAGTCCCTGCTATTTAGTAAATTCTCAATAAACTACTCATCATACTCAAACCCAAAGTGCCCCCACAGTCTAGCACTGGTGCTTTCTCAATTGGTGGGTATGACTGACTTAGCTTTAACAGTCAATGTAACACACTTTAGGCGAGCTGAGAAGGGAGTCTCCATGGGGGACTGTCAGGATCAGGTTGGTCTGTGAGCATGCCTGTGGGGGATTTTCTTAATTGCATTAATTGCTGTCATAAGACTCAGCCTAGGCCAGGCAGAGGAGGTGCATGCCTTTAATCTCAGCACTCAGGAGGCAGAGGCAGGTGGATCTCTATGAGTTCGAGACCAGCCTGGTCTACAAGAGCTAGTTCCAGGACAGCCTCCAGAGCCACAGAGAAACCCTGTTTGGAAAAACAAAAAACAAAAAAACAAAACAAAACAAAACAAAAAAACAAAAAAAAGAAAGAAAGAAAGAAAGAAAGAAAGAAAGAAAGAAAGAAAGAAAAGGAAGAGGAAGAGGAGGGAGGGAAGGAAGGAAGAAGAAAGAAAAAGACTCAGCCTGAAAGTGAGGAGCACCATTTGGTGGCTTGATCCTAGAGGAGAGTGCTGACCCAGCATGCTTGCATTCTTCTCCCTGCTGCCTTGGCTTGCCTATGAGAGGCTACAGCCTAGAGCTGTGAGTTACAACAATGCTTTCCCTACGTTGTTCAATAAGGACTGAAACTAGGACAGAGCTACTACAAGACTGTAAGCAGGGTTAGAGTTCACCACAGTGAAGATGTCTGAATGACGGAAGGATAAGCACGATGCCGCATTTCTCAGATCCCATTCACACACACACAGATTTTAACTTAGCCTTAGTGGCTTTTCTGAGGATTTCCCCGAGTAACTCTGAAGAAACCTATAGCACTTAATTACAACATGCTTATTTATATGTTTCTTATCTCCAAAACAAAAGAAAACACAGACCCTTTCACACAGTCTGTGTACTCCTAGTACCTGAAAAACATTGGAGGATCCATCACTAGTTGAATGAGTAAATCATCAAAATCTAATAAACACACAAAAATATTTAACTACTTTTACCTTTTATCTGATGGCTTTATTATTGCACTGAAATTTCAATTTAACTATTTAGCCACATAAAATCTTCTTTGTTCTTCCACTGTATATATGAAAGTGATAAATGTTTACTTAGTGATATTCAAAACCGTATTTGAAAGAGTAGTGCATCCAACCAGGCATGGTGACTCATGCTGATAACACCAGCAGTCAGGAGGCCAAGGCATAAGGACAGACTTGAGTTCCAGGACATTTTAGATACAGAACAAGACCCTGTATCAAAGTGAAACCAAAAATGCAGACAGATATGCTGCACAGTTGGCACTGCATTGCAGCAGAATAGCCACCTTCAGGCTTCTTCCTGATGGCAACAAAGATGCAGGGAAGTTACTGACAACAAAGGCTGTTTCAATTGGACACCGTGTCCAAGAATCGAATTCACAAATTCTGCACATACTATGAAACTCCATCTAAATAATATCAGGGCAGGCATTTAACTGAGCAGTGACACAGAAAAATATAAAGAGCTTACTTAATCTTTTCAAGGTTAGTGTATTTTCATCAGCGTTCTCAATTCCATTCAAGTATAAAACCTACAGCTCTACTGACTTACCAACTTTCTCCCCACCCCCATACATACACACAAACTCACCCCCAAAACATTGTAAATCAATTTCAAAAAACCATCTTTTACACTGCTTAGGGATATCAAACGAGGAATATCAACAGTTTACCAAATCAATTCACTTATACAACTTAGTTTTATATGTATTAAAATAATAAAATATATACTTACTTTAAAATGAGACTTAAATTTTTAACATATAAACTAAAAAGTGATCTTCCAAAACACTTATTTGTAAATCATAACACTTGACAGAGACACTGGCAGTTGTCTCTTTCTTAATACAGTAAGCCATATAAAGGAGATATGAAGGGTACTACTGCTCTAGAGTTTCCAAACAACTCAATAGTCCACAAGCTAACTAGTGTGAGTGATATTTTTACTTAGCTCAAGAAACAGCTATTTCAAGAAAGCGTCCTCCTTATATGTACACAATTTAGGTTATTATGGAACTATTTCAAAATAATCCCCTGGGACATGACATTGAAGCCTGGGTCTAAACACTGCTTTACTGAGGAAGAGAAAAGGGACAGGCCGAGCTTGATGGTTTTATGCAATAAGAATGAGTAGAGTGGTCAAGGCCATGCACCTTACTAGACCCCGCCCTCCCTCCTACCAGACAGAGCTTTAAGGAGGGGAGGGTGCAGCCAGCACTCACCGGTATGGATCTTCTCGTGTCTCTGAAGCAGGTACTTCTGTATGAAACGCATGTCGCATTGACTACATTGAAACGGTTTTTCGCCTTAAAATAATTTGACATCCATACATTAGTTAATGAGTAAAACAACATTTTAAGTCACTACTTTGAGGATATATAATAAGTCTTAGAAGCCCAAATTTTGGAAAATTCTAAAACATGATAGGATTTTTAAAAAGCATGTTTCAATAACAGTTCTATTTTCCCTCAGAAAATTCCTCCAGGATTTAAAGTTTTATATTTTCACAATCACACAAAAATAAAATATGATTTACATCTTTCTAATAAAAAAGGAAAGACACACGTTCCTCCGGTACCTGAAGGCATGCCCACCTGTTCTCTGTGGGGACCATCCCTCTGTGCCCTTTTACCTGTCTGTCTTCTTCAGAGAGCTCAGAACTGTATGAACACCCTTGAAAGAAACCCATCCGTCTTCATTTCAGAGTGCTGGGGGTCTGTTCCACTGGGAAGACTCGCTTCAATGGGACAATGCTCCTTGACACCTTCCCTCTTTCCCCTACTACACCTTACCAAAGAGCAGTCTCAAGTCTCAAATGCCTCCCCACCCACCGTGGCAAGACCCTTACAGAGATAATCTCCTTGCAGAGAAGATCTCCTTGGTGTTCGATCCACAGATTCCCCACCAGCCTCTGTCCTCTGAGGGCGTGGCCCTTCCTCAGCCTCCTGGCAACCTCTCTCCTTTGGCTTCTGGCTGCCACCATATTTCCTAGTTCATCAACTCTCCCCTATTACTCCCTCTCCTTTACCTACCAAGTCATCTAACAATCCTAGCTTGCTTTTCCAAAGGTGTGTAATCAATCTTTAGTACTATTTTCAACAATTTTACAAATTTTAACTTCTACTTTGGTTAGCTATCATTTTTAGTATCTGATATCAAACCTTGCCTGTGAGGGTTATATATATAGCACAGAAAGAAGAATGCCATAGGTTCTTAATACATTCTCAAGCAGTTTCTCAGTGAAAAAGAGTGCTTTAAGCCAGATAAGCACCCAACTAAGACTACTAAATGTATATATCCATGCTAATTGTCTGCTCATTTAAAGTCTTTCTTGGTTTCTTACTGATAGTCTGACTACAAATTCTGATTGACAATGTCAAGTTAGCTATGGTCTTAAGACTGGATTACATTTACACGAAGATGAAAATAACAATGATAATAATTTTAATGGCCACAAGCCCATTTTTATTCAATACCTGTATGAATGAAGACATGTCTCTGTAAGTGATAGTTCGTTCTAAAGGCAGCATTGCAGTGCTCACAGACGTGAGATTTAGGGGTTTTCAAACCAAGTGATCCATCCTCATTTATTGTAAGGATCTAGTTTAAAAAGAGGCAAAAACAAAAGAAAGTTTTTTAAATGTAAATAAATACTACACTTTAAAAGGACAATATAAGCAATGGTCACTGGGGCTTATAAAATTTTCAGAAATAATCTGGAAAAGACTATTAGAATAGTGGCACCTGTAATGTAGTTAAGTGCTGTGTACTTAGGTTGGGTAAAATCAGTAGCACTCTGGTAGTACTGGTAGCACTCAGCCACCTCCCTTGTCATGCTGATGGCCACCAGAGCCCCTGAGTGTTCTCCTATGGGGCTGCTAGAGTGAGCACAGCTTGATTTCCAACTTCAAATACTCATGTTTGCAGGGAGAAAAGTCAGGTATCAATCAATCACTGTGAATGGCTAAAGCACAGAAAACCAATACAACTTAATTTTATGTGATTGCAATGTGAAATTCTATCTACTTGAATGGAATAAACATCAGGATTTGATCAATTACAAAAAGGTTCAAAATCCACTATAGATAGATAGATAGATAGATAGATAGATAGATAGATAGATAGATACAAAAGGACTAGATAGTATCTAATCATATATACCTATCTAGATATGGTGTCCTTTTGTGTGTGTGTCTGAATATACAGTTATTTGTATATGTTTAATAACTACTTCAAAAGGATTTACACCTTGACTGTGAGGGATGATGAACTGAGCAGATAAATAATGGATACACTGGACAGACTTTAAACATTTTTTGAGACAGGTAAGAGTTTGCCTGTCATTATTTTCTCATTTTTTTAAAAAGAGAAAATTAAGTTTCTCAGTAATCCTCAGTAGAATCTAGACTTTGTCTCATCTAGGATCTCTAAAGATACTGTAGAATTAGCACTGCTAAACATGTCTTAAAAATACTTGTCAGATAAATCAGAGTGGGAAGACAGGAGAAAAGAAACCAACTTGACCATCCTGGGCATCTTGCAAACAAGAACACTGTGAGTATGGTCTAGACAGTTACCAGTGAAAGCTCACCTTCAGGCAACCTCATGAGTTCTACCTTACCAACCACTTCCTCAGCATGCAGCGTTTACTACCTCCCGTTAGACACACAGCAGAGTGGTAAGAGAAAATGATTCCATCATCATTTTTACCAAGGAAAGAAAAAAGGAAGCAGAATATAATGTGAAGAAGAATAGAGGAAAACTAAGAGAGCGCCAGCTATCGTGGAGATCAGGAGTCTGAAGCAGGAGGCTACAGAGTCCAAGGTCAGTCTGGGCTGCAGAGCAAGAACTTGAAGATAAGAAGAGGGAAAGACAAGATCAGAGCATGAGCCAGAGGTGGGAAGCAACTTGGAGTTGAATGTCTGCAGAAAGTAAGCTGAGATCGTGGCACACTAAACCAACACTTAGAAGGCTAAGGCAAGTGGATCTCTGTGAGTCCAGGGCCAGCCTGGGGTCCAGAGACAGTTCCAGGACATCCAGGGCTACACAGAGAGACCCTGTCTCAACACTTCACCTCTCACACACAAAACAAAGAAAGAGACAAAGCAAGCAAACTGAGACACTGCTTAACACAGGAAAGAGAAATTTGGACGGCATCTTAGAAATACAAAGCACCATAGAAACTGACTGGGGCCTACCAACACACAGCTATGATCCCTTCTTCAACTCTAGAAAAGAGAGGTAGTAAAGGAAAGTGGCTTTAAGCTTTAGAGTATCTTTTTACTTTAAATTCAAGGAGACAGTTCAGCCTATACTCATGCAAATCAATGATAATTAGCATGCAAATTATACAGGGTATTTGGGTTCTGGGCAAATTGCCAACATGGTCAACAATGCTTCAAGTCTATGCACCCAACACATAGAAGGGACACATTTGGCAGGAGAATGGAAGTGGGTGTCACAGCTTCCTGAACAGACAGTGAGAATAAAAGTCTGATTTCTGGCCAGTCAAGTTTAAGTTAGTTTTTTTTTTTTGTTGTTTTTTTTTGTTGTTTTTTTTTTTTCAGTTCTTCCAAGTCACATAATAATAATGTAAGTTAACACTGTACCCAAGAAAAATGCACAAACCCTCTTAAAATAGGATTCAAAACATGCAAAAGAAAATGATGCTAAGTATTATACATAATAAATAAGACAATAATACCAGGCTTTCTTCTTTTCACATGGGTTGATAAAAATAAGATCTGAGTGCCAAAAGTCATGGTAGCTCAATGGCTGTCTATGGATAGCAAGTGGAAAGAAAGGTTCTTGTTAGGCACAACTCTGGCCTATGTTGCCTACTGTGAAGCGGATGTAATCTCTGCCCTTTGTAGACAGTTAAGAGTTCTGGGTCATTATTTTCAGCACTGGAAGTCATCATACTCTCTTCGTTCAGGTCTTAATTCAAGGTTTACTTATATACATGAAACAGATACCTCTACTATTTTATGGGCAAACACACCAAAACCAATCAAGCAAATTTATAAGTTCAAGTAGAAATGTCAGATTCTCAGACATTTTAAATTTAATTTTCTTTTCCTTTGTTAGGCCAGTGCAATGCATATTTTTATTTATAGAATGGAGCAAAATCCACCTTACCATAAACAATCATCAACAGCTTTTCCAATCTGCAATCTGTTTGAAATGTATCCACATGAACTTGCCTGTTTCATTCACCACTATAACCCCAATGTCCAAACCTGGAGTGCGGGCACAGTGGATTCTACACCTATCACTGACAGAGTTACCTGTCTGCTGCCTATACCAAATAGCCCACACAACTTAACACTTCATTCTTTAAACAAACAAGCAATACAAGAAATGTTTAGCTAAAATTGTACTTCTCAATCTCTTGGCCTTCAGACCATCCTAGGAACACAGACAAGTGAGCATTCCAAGACAAAGCGCAGGCATGGGACCAGCAGCATATTAACTCTGCCAAACTGTCTTCCTTAGCATACATTGGCCTTAGTTTTTTTGTTGTTGTTGTTGTTGTTTTTTGTTTTTTAATTTATTTATGTATTTTATTTGAGTGCTCTGTCTGCATGTATGCCTGCAGGCCAGAAGAGGGCATCAGACTCCACTGTAGATGGTTGTGAACTGTCACATGGTTGCAGGGAATTGAACTCATGACCTCTGGAAGAGCAGCCATCTATATAGGCCTGACTTGACTTACTCTTGTTTACAACCTTTCAAGATCTTTTTGAACTGTGATCCAATGGTTTGAGACATTTATTCTAAAGATTATCAGTCTTACTTGCTATTAGTACCACAAAATATTTTTGCTTAAGTTCTCCCACTCAACATATGATCACCATTACAGCAGAAAGAGCTGGAGGCTAATGCTTTCATTCCTAGGACGTATGACATAGCATTTTTTAGTTTTGGCTGGGGGTGCTGTTTTTGTTGGCCAGAATGTTCAGAGTCCCCCAAGACTGGAATTACAAGTCTGCTTCTTCAAGCTCAATTATCATAGCAGCAACTCTGGGTTAGTTTCCTCTTGTCCTACTACTTTGTCATAAACAGTATATTATAAAGACAGAGCAAGTCAGGGTCTCCTCTTACCAAGAAGACAAATTAGTAATACAAAAATCTAACTCTTGTGAGTTTCATATTTGTTTAATAGTGTTAAGATTTTACAGGTTTAAAAAAAAAAAAAAAAACTGGTACCTAATGGAATTCCCTAGCTATTCTGTGCCCCTAATCTCATAGTTCACTATATATTTTTACTTTGAGACAAATTTGTTTCCAGCTAATATGTATGTATACATTATATAGCACACACACACACACACACACACACACACAAACACACACACACAGAGCAGGGAGGAGTCTTAGGAGTGAGGAGAGCTCTCTTAGTAACACACCTCTTTTTATCAAGCAAGGTTTAATAAAACGCTGCTTATTCAAATGACAGACCACTCCAGAATCAATCACACTCCCCATGAGAAAGGATTCTTCTCAAAAGACAAACTCAGCTTTTTGCATTGTATGTGCATACAACTAAAATAATCCATTCATATTTTAATCTAATGACTACAGACTTTATAACACCTTCCAACATTAACTGATATCAATGTTTAAGCCATTCAAACACAAGAGAACTTAGAGATGATTTGAATCAATGGTTCTGAACCTGTGGGTCATGACCCCTCTGGGGCTGAAAGACCCTTTTGCAGGGTTCACATCAAATATTCTAAATAATGTATGTATGTATGTATGTATATTACAACTACATTATATATGCAATATATACATATATTTATATATACACATATATGTATATACATATATACATATAATACATATATACATGTATATACATATAAATATACATATACATATACATATACATACATACATACATACATACATATATATATATATATATATATTACAATTCCTAACTGCAGCAAAATTACAGTTACGAAGTAGCAACAAAATAATTTATGGTTGGGGGATCAACACAACACGAGGAACTGTATTAAAGGGTTGAGGCATTAGGAAGGTCGAAAAGCACTGATTTAAACCCTTACCAATTATGAGAGGTTTTGCTTCTAACTGAGGGCAGGAAAAGTACTTTGAAGACTTTCTTCCTGCCTGGTGGTGGTACACGCCTTTAATCGAAGCACTGGGGAGGAAGAGGCAGGTAAATCTCTGAGTTCAAGGCCAGCCTGGTCTATGAGTGCCAAGGCTACACTGAGAAACTGTCTCAAAACAAACAAACAAATAAAACTGTCTTTCTTATCCAAAACAATACAACTCTGAAAGCACATAACAAGATCACCCAGAGTAAATGTCAAGTCAGGGCTAGTTCCTCATTATTTACAATCTCCGGATTTTATTATGTCTCTATACTACCATTTTACTTATTAGCAAATTTCATTTTCAAATGGAAAGTTTTAATGGTGTCAGAATAAGAATATGAAACTCACATGTCATAATAATGGAATATGACTCATAGTCATCATACTGGCCTTAAGAATTTAAAAGATTGGAGGGGGTACACTCTCGAAAACAGACAGAGGACAACTTGCAAGTGTCAGTTTGCTCCTTGT